TACGTTTCCGCTGACGATGGTTTTGATGAACTTATATTTTGACCGGACTTTTGGAAAACTTTATGCTTTCAGTAACAGTATGATTTTATTAAAAATTAAGATAACGGTTTTTCAAATTAAGTCACGTTTTTACGGTAGCACCCCAAATCAGTTTCCGCAAAGTAAAAGATTTTATTTTTAAATAACTTTGCAAAATTTTCGCACTCTGATTTTACGATAAGGCGGGGTGTTACAATAAAAACCAGCAAAACCAAGATAGGAGAATAGAAAAGACAGCACACCCAACAACAACTAGAAAAACAGCAGCCCTAGGCAACCCAGCTAAAAGCAGCAAAAGAAAGTACTAAATCTTCCAGCCTAGACAAGGACAAAGAATAACAGCAAGACAGTCTTCAACAAGCCACCCAAGACCATACAAAAAAACTCCAACAGTATAACCAGGCCAGAAAAAATGCTGAACCACTGAACTGGAAAACGGGACCTAGTAAGCACTGCTCTGCCTTCAATATGTGACAGCAACTTGAGCTGAAGAAAACTCCAGCCACTCTTTTACAGCCACCTTGATCACTTCTTGCTCTGGCATTCTGCAATTTTGGAACTTCCACAAATTCCTAGATTTCCACAACCACCACAAAATATATGTGGTGAGTTGTATCCTATCCTGTGGAGTCACTGACCTATCCAGAGATCAAATGGACCACCACCATGATCTGAAACAGTGAGTGAGATCTTGCATTCCATTCCATCTAAAAGGAGCAAGTTTCCAGATTGATTGAGCTCTTTTGCATTGAAAAAGGATATGCTCTGTAGTTTCTAACTCCTCACCACAGCAGTTACAAATAGGATCAAGCACCATGCCTCTTGATTGAAGTTGGACACTAGAAGGGAGAGCTTTGCTATAACATTTCCAAATGAAATGTTTCAGCTTATGTTTAATTTTTAATCTCCAGCTCCTTCTTCTGACTTTAGAGTCTCTTACAGCAGAATTATTTCCCTCAGGTAAACCCCACTTCAACACTTTCTGCTTTATGATACCAGCATAAGAACCAGCAACAGAGAAACACCCATTTTGATCAAGTGTCCAAACCCATTTATCACGTTGAGAAGGGTCCAAGGAATTGATACTAAGGATGGCATTTCTATCATTCTCACAGAATAATGAATCCAGCAGCTGGTAATTCCATTTCCTTCCACCCACTTCCATAAGATCCTTGACCCAAATCAGATTACAACCCCAAGTTTCAGCTTTGGAATGCCACCATCTACAGAAGGAATCCATGCATCCTTCCAGATTTTACAAGAAGCTCCATCTCTAATTTCCATCCTGAAACAGTGCTTGTATTTGTCTCTCACCCCCAACCAAGTAGACCAAAGCCAAGATGCTGTAGAAGGCTTCTTCATTTGCAGGATACTTGAATTAGGGAAGTATTTAGCCTTCAACACTTTACTCACAAATAAGTTGGGATTTGATATGATCCTCCAAATATGTTTCAAAATCAGGCTATCATTAAAAAGCAGAAGATCTTTAAAGCCAAGACCTCCAGTATCCTTAGGAATGGTGACAGCCTCCCAAGATTTCCAGTGAACACCCCTGCTTCGATCATGGCTCTTGCTCCACCAAAAATTAGCACACAAACTAGCAATGGTTCTGCAAACTGACTTAGGCAACTGAAAACAAGACATAGAGAAAACAGGCAGAGCATCAAGCACTGCCTTTATCAAGACCTCCTTTCCTGCATCAGATAGCAAATTATTCTTCCAGTTGACAAGTCTAGACCTCACAGCAGATATAACATACTCGAAGACCTCTTTTTTTGACCTTCCAATACCTAAGGGAAGTCCCAAATACCTGGTGAAATTATGAATATTAATCCCCTGGAACACCTGACAGATTTCTGCTTTAGGCTTTCAGAAGAATTTCTACTGAAAAAGATAGTAGATTTGCCCAAGTTCACTTTTTGTCCTGTGAAGCTTCTATATTATGCCAGAATAGATAATATAAGATTTGCATGGTGGCAGTCAGCATTACAGCATACTAAGGCATCATCTGCAAATAACAGATGAGATATGGGTGGCCCATTTCTAGCAATTTTTAATCCCTTAAATTGACCCTTCTTCGCTTCAGCTTCCAAGAGTCTAGAAAACAACTCAGAGACCATAATGAACAAATAGGGGGACAGTGGGTCCCCCTGTTTGATTCCTCTAGTAGCAGAAATAAACCCCTTTGCACAACCATTAATATTGAAAGAATAATTAGCAGAGGACACACAAGCCAGCACCCATTTGACAAACAGCCTACTAAAACCCATTTTCATCATTATACCATGAATACTCATCCACTCCACTCTGTCGTTTGCCTTTTCCATATCAAGTTTAACCACCATCAATCCTTTAGATCCATAATTATGCCTATTCAGATAGTGAATGGATTCTTGAGCAAGAACCACATTATCAAGAAGTAATCTACCCGGGACAAACGCAGCCTGAGTAACACTAATGCAACAATCCAAGCAAGCTTTGATTCTAGCTGTCAGGATCTCTGAAATGATTTTGTAAGACACCCCACAAAGGCTAATAGGTCTGAAATGCCCCAAAGATGTAGGGTTCACATTTTAGGGATTAAAGTCATGAGGGTATGGTTCCAATTCTTTAAAATCATCCCAGACTCAAAAAAACTTTTCACAGCCTTACAAATGTCAAATTTGATTACTTCCCAAAATGTTTGGAAAAAAATTGGAGACATACCATCTTGTCCTGGAGCTTTTCCTGGGTCCATGCTGAAAAGAGCCTCCCTAACCTCCCCAAAATGTTTGGAAAAAAATTGGAGACATACCATCTTGTCCTGGAGCTTTTCCTGGGTCCATGCTGAAAAGAGCCTCCCTAACCTCCTCATCTGTCACAGGAGAGGTTAAGTCTGCATTCGTATCATCCGAGATTGATTTAGGTATGACTTGTAAAACTTCATCAGCACCACTGGAACCCTCTGAGGTAAACAGGTTCTCATAGAAATTAGAGACACACTGCTCAATTTTCTCATCTGATTCACATGTCTCTCCTCGCTCATCAAGTAACCTGGTAATTGCATTACCCTGTCTTCTCTGCATAACTGAAGCAGGGAAGTATTTAGAATTGGAGTCCCCATGTCTGAGCCAAGATACTCGGGAATTCTGCTGCCAATACTCCTCTTCTTTCTTGATGAGATCATCCATCTGTCTCTTAAGTCCATACCACTCCTCCCAATTTCGATTATCTCCCTGTTTACTCAACCTCTCCAGTCTATTAGATATTTCATCTTTCTCTCTGTCTCGGTTCTTCTTGAACAGACTACTCCATCTAAGAATAGCCAGTCTTGTCTCCTTAATTTTCTCTGAAACTTGATACATAGGAGTTCCACTTTTCTTTAAGCTCCAAGCTTTCTCCACTGTTTCTCTGATTCCCGACATCTTTAACCATCTTTTATCAAAATAAAATCTTCTTTTTGGCTTTTGTATTCCATAGTCAAACTGTGTAGATAAAAGTAACAACCTGTGGTTTGAGGCACTTCTACAAAAAGATTCGACCCTGGCATTTGGATGAGCAGCCAACCAATTGAAAGAACCAAAAATTTGATCGATTTTCTCCTCAATGAAATCCCCACCTGATCTGTTGTTTCCCCAGGTAAATTGGTGCCCAGTCATCAGCACTTCCTGCATCTCCATTTGAGCAATGAAATTATTAAAACCTCGGAGCTCCAGCTCATTCTTTTTTCTACCCCCTCTTTTCTCTTCCACTGAACAGATGGCATTCCAGTCCCCCCCTATCAACCAAGAGTCACCCCATTTTTGCTTATCATTAACTAAGTAACCCCATTGCTCTTCTCTGATTCTGCTGTCAGTACTCATATATGTGAAAACAACCCAGAAAGAAGGACCACCTGCAGTTCCTTCCACCTCTACTTCAATGCTAAACTGATTCCCCAAAACTTGCAAAATAGAAACATCCCTCCCCCAGAGTAATAAAAGACCCCCACTCAGCCCCAAGGGATCCACAATAAAACATCTCTCTTTAAAACCTAGCTTATGGCACACAGTATTAACAAACTTACCATTTTTTTTTGTTTCAGAAAGAAAAATAAAATTGGGGTGGTGGATTCTAGAAAGATCCTTGATCTGGGTAACTGTAGAGGGGCCACCCAAACCTCTACAGTTCCACATGATCATCTTCATTTGGAAACTTAGGGCCAATTTAGGCTGGCTTCCTCCACCTTTTGAGCATCATTCCTCAGTTTCTTGGATTTATGGGTATTGCTAGATACATCATCCTCCTCTGTATATTCAGCATTTTCCTCCACTATCTTCTTTCTCTTTGATGAATCAGAACCCCCTGGAGTTACTATAACAGCTTTTTCAATTTGAGCTCTGGTATCTATCCCAACTTTTCATTTCCAACCCTTTCTTTTGTTCAATGCATGATAGACCTGCTCCTCCTCAACTATCCCATTTGTCATTTCAACATTTGGAGGGTAGCCATTTTCAGGGATACTAACCAGTGGTTGCTGCAACTCTTTTTCTGGTTCAGTGCATAGTTGTTCTCTTCTGGAGCTTGGACTTTGCCTGGAAACTGCAACTTCCACATTCTGATCAGACATGGTCTGGTCTGTCCTTCCCTGCTCCTCAACCTCATTCCTCACCTCTTGTATTTTACTCACACTGTCTCCCAATGTCTGGTTTCTACTTTCTGATGAGTTATTAAACTGATTTTGTATCCCATTATCCTGATGGCAATTGATGTCTTGAGCAGAGTTATCATTGGAGTTGCTTAAAAAACTTTGAGACGACACAGAACTTGGGCCATAACTTCCTTCATGAGCTTTCATCCACTCTCCGTATTGTCCCTCCTCCAAAGAACCGCATTCAAAATCTTTCATTCTTTTCTCACAGGATCGTTCTAAGTGCCCAATTAGACCGCAGTAGTGACAGAGATTAACAAGCTTTTCATATTGAATAACATCAGTGACTTGTTGGTTATTAAGCTTTAAATTGACAACTCTGGGCAGAGGTTTAGATACATCTACTGTAACTAGAATACGGAGAAAGCTACCTCTGTTGCCTCCCGCTTTTACCACCACAACATTGCTGGTTTTCAAAAAGATTTTGTCTACAATAATCCCAACATCCGAACATAGCCAATTGATGGGTATATTACTCACCTGGATCCACATCTTCAACTCATTGAAAACAGGATGGAATTCATTTAGCCCTTCTTCCCACTCCCTGAGAATCAAATATTGATTTTCGAAGAACCAGTGAATGCCCGCAGCTACTTTCCTTTTATCTTCAAGACTCCCAAAAATAAATTGGAAGAAGTTTGTCTTCAACTCCCTAACCTCCAATGGGTTCTGAATTTGCCAAATAAGCCCCATTGTACGCTTAACTCCGGAAAGATGAGCTTTTCTGTCCCTCAATACTTTGCCAAAGAGACTGGTTTTACACTCCTCATCGCTTATTCGAATATCGGCTTCTTTAACCTCCAGTAACCTATGCTCCGACTGAGATAGGGCAATCTTTTGCGATCTCTTACTCAATTCTTCTTGGAAACCCCCTCCATTGGATGATGGTAACGACTCCATGAACACCTACAATGCCCACACCCCCTGAAAACCCCACAAAAAAACCCTAGAAAAAAAAAACCCAAAAAAACCCCAACACCACAGCTCAGAACCCCCAAAGAAGTAATAGAGAAAAAGAAACTAAAAGATCACCTCCAAAGAAGTAATACTAACTCTTCTAAAAGAGAATCGCCTAACCCTTCATGGAGTAATCCAAATAATTTATTTCGAACAGTTCACTAAAAGCGAAGAACCAATGTTGTTGTCTCCTTGTTTAGTCTGGTTGTTTGCATTTGTGTTTTTTTTTTTCTTTTTCTATTTGGGAGTTGTTTGTATTCTCTTGTTGGGAGTTGTGTCATTATCCTGTTGTGAGCTTTTGTTATTTTTTGGTGTTATTATTAACACTGTTGTGTTGTATTTAGGTTGGTTCTAGACTGCTTCAGGCTATTTGTCTATAGGGCTGGTCCACCCAACTTGATTCAACTGAGTAGCTGACCCTTTTCGGCTGTTTAGTTGTTCTCTAGTACGTAATTAAGTGTTTTTGTCCGAATAGAGGCCTATCGTTCCCCGAAAAAGAAAAGGGACAATAAAAAAATATATGTGTATATGTATTAACAACTATACGAGCTTTGATTCATATACTCATAAATAGGGAAGAGTAGTTGATAGGCATTATAGTACCGACTCACTTCAACCAAACTAAGACACATAAAATCGAGGTTGATTGGGTAGGAGGGTCGACCATTGACCCAAGGTTTGACATTTATGACCACTGCAAGTCGGGTTGGATATCAATCCTTAAGGCCGGGCATCGACTAAATTATGTTCGGTCGGCATATGTTCACGAACGTATGACCCCAGGGGAGAGACCGTACAATTAAACACTATATAAAGGGTTAGTTCAATAATAGTAAATGTAAGACTCATAAGATCTCAGATTCGGATTGGATGCTTTTTGTCTCTGTTAACGAAAGCTAATCCACTTTTTATCCCCTACTGAAGGAATGTATGTAATACCCCACCTTACGGTAAAATCAGAGTTGCGCAATAAATCGCAAAGTCTTTAAAAATAAAACCTTTTTACTTTGCGAAAACTGATTTGGGGTGCTACCGTGAAAAATCGTTACTTAACTTAAAAACCATTATTTTAATTTAATAAAACGTCCGGTTACTGAAAACTTTATTTTCTTAAAAGTTTGTCAAAATGATGCGTTCGTCGAAAGATAGGAAAAACATCATCATAAGTCATCAAAAGATAAAGAAGCGTAAGTCACAAGTATATTTATACAGTCCAAAAACATATATAAATATCCTGA